CGGAAGAGCTTATATTGACCAAGGTTGAAAGTTTCTCGTCCCAATTCTCGGGCAGCTTCCAAAAGGAGCCAGCATCCCGCCGGTTGAAGGTCTCTACATTGGCATCCACCGAGTTTGGAAGCGCCCACAAGGGTAATACAGCTTCCTTGGCAGTATACATCGTGGACCAAGAGGCGCAGAAATTAACTATTGTGAATCTGAGGGCCGATCGAGAGCCAACCCCCAAGAACCGGAAGAAAAAGTCCAAGGCTGCCGAACAGCGTCCGTTACTCGTGCGTGCGGTAAGGATCCAAAATGTCTCAAATGTCTTGGATGCCTGTAGAATCTCCGATGGGGATCTTTCTCGGATACTCTCACTAAGTGAAACGGAAAGCGGACACCGCGAGCTATCATTGCAAACCCTGTGGGGTAGTCCCGTCAAAGTTGAGGTTCCTGTACCACTGCAGCTGTATGAGCCAGATGGCATCTCTGCCAATAAACTCGAGAGTCGCCCAAGAGAAAGTGGTGTCAACCGGGTCATGGCGGATCCCAACCTCATCTTCAACAAGTTTGATCATGGGTGTTCTCGAGGGAAGATCGACCTGGTAGACACCGATAAACAGCGCCACAGACTCCAGGTCCGAATGGAGCCCCGCAACGAACTGGTGAAGAAAATACTCAAGATCTGCAAGTTTGCCTTGCGTGAGTCCGAGAAAGCGGGTGATGGCATTATGGTCGCATGGTGGGAGGTCATGAAATGGCTTCGGGGTAAGGAGGAAAGCAACATTGAGTGGACCGCCATGACAGTCGTCTTGTTGAGTCTAGCAGCCCCATTCGTCGCCCCTCCACAAACGCAGATTCCCAAACGAACGCGTCGCAAGAAGGGTCTACTCAGATCGAGTAGTGGGGGACATCTGGATCTGGAAAGCTGGGAGTCCATGCTGGACCTGGAGTCTGGCTCATCCGGTGTCGTAGCTCCGTGGATGATGGACAGTTCCTGGGGGTGGATCGTTGAACAAGACGCAATTGAAGGTCTCGCATCAGGAGATGCACACAAAGGTGCCAATGCCAGTCGGTCTACATATCGCCAGAATTCGTACTTGATCCGGTGCATCGCCCTCAGCCGTGAATTCCTTCAAACTCCTCAAGGCCTCAGGGCTGCTGGCCGCGACGGCTACCTCCCTATCTCTGAAGCATTCTCAGAGAACACAAGATGTACCGCATTGTGCAGTGTTCTCGTGGCCTTGCATCTATTGCGTGAAGAACAGAAGCTCTCCACCTGCGACTCGGAGGAATCTCAAAGGCCCCTGGGGCTGCTTGCTCCTGTCATCGCACAATTGGGCGGCTGGCTACGATGGGAATCCTGGAAATGGACCGAGGATGCCTATTATGGCACCGAAATGGCCAGTATGGAGCGCTGGCAGTTTGAGGATAATACTCATATCACTGGACTGAAAGTTCCCGCCGAACCCTTCCCGCCACCGTCCATATTTGAATTTTTAATGGGTGCTGCTGCCCATCGGAGCCCTACACCGTTTGTTTCTCTTCTCGATATTGTGAATGCATCGGAGCGAACTCCCAGAAAAGGGCGAATGTGGCGCGAATGTTTCAGCATCACACCAAGGACGTGTGCGTTGAATGGTTTCTTCACCGAAATTCACGGTGTCTCAACATCCTTGGAAAAGATCAAGCTTTTGCAACGCTGGGGGTTCACAAAGAGTGTCATTGATAGCTTCCCAGAAGGTGTCAGCGCCCCGCTTTATGAAGCTGTTATGCAATGCCAGATTGAAGCCTCCACGTCCTGGAACGCGACGCTCCTAGAGCTGATTGACAGAGAAGACCTTTACATGTCGATGAATCCGGCTCAAACCAATTCCTTGGCAGCACCACAGCAACCTAACCATACTGCCATCCGAGATTTCCACTATATCAGCAGCTCGGCATTGGATATTGATACCATCAACGCCTTTGAGGCCTCTGCAGAGGCCGACCGATACTCAGTCACCAGGCTGATATTCCGAGATGATAAGCGATTTATGGAGGCAGCTAAACTACTCAACCAATCCAAAGCACCGGTGGCAGAGTGCATAGCCGAACCTGGCTGGAGTGACTCGGACCTGTTAGAGGCGCAGAAAGAAATTGTGCAGCTCGTAACCGTTCGAACGTTGTCTACTCCAGCGGGTCGTGCAATGCTCACTTTTAGTGGCCGATTGCCTTTGTTGACTGAGAAGCTGCCGATCCCTTCATTTTCCCTGCAGTGCGTCATGACGCCGGACAATGTGACTGTCAGCGCAGATAGATCTGCGTTCTCAGAAGAAAAGGTCTGCTGGGCCTTCTTCCACAACGGAGTATCAACCGGTCTGGCAATCTCCAAGGCTTCGAAGGGTATTGACACATCGTGGATCTTGTTCAACAAGCCACAGGATCTTACCAACCGACATGCCGGGTTTTTGTTGGCTCTGGGTCTGAATGGCCATCTTAAATCGTTGGCAAAGTGGGTTGCTTTCAAGTACCTCACTCCCAAGCATACCATGACATCGATTGGTCTCCTGCTCGGTCTCTCTGCGTCGTACCTGGGCACAATGGATACTCTAATCACACGCTTGCTTTCGGTACATGTTACAAGAATGCTTCCACTTGGAGCAGCTGAGCTGAACCTGTCGCCGTTAACTCAGACTGCTGGAATTATGGGTATCGGTCTACTTTACTGTGGCTCCCAGCATCGTCGTATGAGCGAGGTCATGCTCTCGGAAATCGAAAACAGTGAGCCGGACGAGCAAGCTGCTGCCACCGGAGAGGAACTCCGCGACGAAGGATATCGTCTGGCCGCAGGCTTTGCCCTTGGTTTCATTAACCTTGGCAAAGGCGATGACTTGCGGGGCATGCGTGATATGCACATTGTTGAACGGCTATTGTCAATCGCCGTGGGCACCAAGACCGTCGAAATCGCCCATGTACTCGACCGTGCTACGGCTGGCGCGACCATCGCTTTCATGATCATCTTCATGAAGACGAACGACTCGGTACTAGCCAAGAAGATTGATATCCCTGATACCACTGTTCGCTTCGACTACGTGCGGCCAGATCTGTTCCTGTTGCGAACACTGGCACGACACTTGATCATGTGGGATAGTATCAAACCCACTGCTGAGTGGATCAGCCAGAGTCTGCCCGAAGTCTACCGCGGACGATCGCGACTCACGGATGTGCGCCGGCTGCGCAGCGAAGATATGCCATTCTTCAACATTATTGCAGGCCTCTGCTTTGCCGTCGGTCTCCGCCATGCTGGATCGGGACAAACACAGGCCCGGGATCTGTTGTTGTTTTATCTAGACCAGCTTATCCGCATTTCACGGCTACCTGTGCGAAGCTACGATGCTAGACTCGCCCGCAATTCGGTTCGGAACTGTCAAGATGTGGTGGCCCTATCTGCCGCGGCAGTCATGGCTGGCACGGGGGACCTAGCTCTGTTCCGGCGCCTGCGGTCGCTCCATGGTCGAATCGACGCGGATACACCGTATGGTAGTCACATGGCGGCACACATGGCTGTCGGAGTACTCTTCCTCGGAGGAGGCAGCTACACACTTGGCACGTCCAACCGCGCTGTGACCGCACTCATCTGCGCATTCTACCCGATCTTCCCAACAACGGTGCTTGACAACAAGTGCCACCTCCAGGCCTTCCGCCATCTCTGGGTTCTCGCTGCTGAACCACGATGCCTCGTCCCTCGTGATCTTGATACCCGCCGCCCAATCTCTATCCCCGTTACCATAACTTCTCATGACGAGACCACCCGCACCGTCAGCGCCCCCTGTCTACTGCCAGATCCTAGCAGCATTGCCCGTATCGAGATACGCGGACCAGACCACTGGCCGCTCGTTCTGGATTTCAGTCAGAACGATGCCCTGCGCGAGAAATTCCTCCGCGGCGACCCATCCGTCTACCTTCGCCGCAAGGCCACCTACAGTCCAAGCTCATCAACCTCCGTCTTCGCGTCCACCCTGACCGGCCTCAGTGAAGCGCAAGACATCCTCCCAACAACCACCGGTCCCCTCTCAAACCCAACCAAGGGCCTCCCACCCTCGGCATGGCCCACCCGCACGGCGCTACTCACCGGAAAGCCCTCTGCAGCGATGACTCCGTCCCAAAACCCTTGGGACTGGGTCTTCCACCTCCCCTCCCTACAAGATCTCGACATCCGGGAGCGCTCCCTCGTCCTCCCATCTTCCTTCCCGATGCGCTCTACGCGTATCACCACCGATCTCATCTCTGTGCCGCCTTGGCTGCGTACCTCAGCGGTAGATGCTAGACTCGCTCTGTCGCATACTGTCCGCAACATCGTGCAATCCGCACGCGGCCGGGGCGCTGATCCGGACCAAATTTGTGATCGGATCTGGCAGCTTCGTTTGTTGTTTGATTGGCTGGATCGTACTCAGCCTGGCGATGAACGCGACCATGTTTCGAGTAGAGGGTTGCTATCCCCGGCGCAGGGTCAGCCGTCTGGGCTGTGGTTACGGAGAGACTTTGTTGAGGAAGCTAGGTGGCAGGTGTGGGGTGTGCAGATTGGTGATGTTGAGGGAGAGACTCAAATATAATTGTATTCGCATTAGGAAAACAGATCAAATCCCCCAATGCTATGTGTATTTTTTTATTTCTCGTCTTTTCTCCAATATAAATTCCCCGGAAGTTCATCTCCGCAGAGGGGTAACTGATAACACAATCCACAGCTTCCATCCCGCCATCGCCATCTCTCTACTTTTCTTGAAATCATCCCAACTCAAGTCAATCCCAGTTGAATTCCAGTTGAATTCCAGTTGAATTCCAGTCGCAGTCCCAATTGCAATTCCAATTGCAGTTCCAATCATCAAAACCATGACCAATCAACACCAAAAACAATCTCCTCCGAAGCGGAGTGAGTCTCCAACTCCAACCTCTCACTAAAAACAAGACACAGAAGAAGAGAGAACCCCCAAAACTAACAATCTCAACCCTCAACAGTATGGGCCTCCCTAATAACAAACATGTCCTACCTCCCCGGCCTCCTAACCCTACACCACTCCCTCAACTACCCCTCCCAAGACCACAACATTACAAACCAACCCCAACCCTCACCATCCGCAACCCAAGGAACAAAATACCCGTTCGTAGCCTTCTACACCTCAACATTCCCAGCCGAAGGCCTCAAAATCCTCCAAAGCCGCAACATCCAATCCCAATGGGTCCCTTCAGTGACACCCGCCAGCACCCGCAACTACGCCAAAGACCCACGCTTCGCCGAAACATGGAACAAGCTAGTGGTCTTCTCACTCGAACAGTATGAGCGCGTCATCCTCCTCGACGGCGACATCCTCATCCGCCGGAACATGGACTCTTTAATGGACTTACCGCTCGACGATGAAACCGATGCCGAGGGAAACCGGGTGTTTGCGGCTGCGCATGCTTGCGCTTGTAATCCCATGAAGAAGGCGCATTATCCGGCTAATTGGTATGTAACACCAACACCAACACCAAAACACTCTATACATACGACAGTACTAACCTTCCTCTCACAGGATCCCGTCGAACTGCGCTTACACAACGCAACACTCCACCCCCGCCGACGCGCAGAACGTTGCCCCACCTCCGGGCTCCGGTGTCGGAATGCTGAACAGCGGGGTGTTAGTCGTGCGGCCTTCGGCGCGTGTGTACAACGAGATCACAGCTGCGTTACAGGAGACCGCGCGGATTGAGCGGTACGACTTCCCTGATCAGGAGTTGTTGTCTGATGTTTTTGCTGGACGGTGGGTTCCACTGCCTTATGTTTATAATGCGCTGAAGACGTTGCGGATGGCGGGTGTGCATGATTCTATTTGGCGGGATAGTGAGGTTCGGGCTGTGCATTATATCTTTGCTACGAAGCCTTGGCATGAGGATGTTGTAGAGGGGGATTTGTCTGGGTTGGATGAGACGGGGGTTTGGTGGTGGAGGGCTAATTGGGAGAGGATGAGGGTTGAGAGGGGGGTTGGTGTTTTGGATGAGTTTTCTGGCTCTGGGTGATATTTTTTGATATGCTCCATGTAGATAGCTTTACTGTCGTAGTTTCTATAGATTTGTGGGTGGCTATAGTTATGCATAGATACTCTGTACAGACATTTCAGTTCCAAGGTCATATTGATAGTGAGAAAGATATTGATAACGATAGGGATGTCGATGTCAATCTGAACAGCTCCTGTAACCAGATGCAATACATGCAGGTCGATCTAAGTATATCCATGCAAGGGCGCAATCTGCATCAACGTCATCAAGCGTCAAGCATCACGCATGCTCATCTGTTCAATTCCAATCAACCATCATACCCAACAGCCTGGAGCTCTTTCCGCACCGTATCCTCGGTCTGGATCTTCTTCATCTGCGTATCCTCCAACTTCTCACCACCAGCAAGACGCATCTTAAGCTCATCAATGGCGCGGATCTTCTTCAGCAGGCCACGGATCTTCTTATCCTGGGCAGAGGGATCCTCAACAGGCGCGGAAGCAATCACAGGGGCCGGAGCAGGAGCAGCGGCAGGAGCAGGGGCAGACTTGGCCGCACCGTTTCCATTCGTGGGGCCAGCATTCTTACCGCGGTTACGGTTGCGGTCGGGGCTGGGTCCAGTCGGGGCGTTGGCAGGAGCATCAGTTCCATCTTCCTTGGCCTTCTTAGCCGCCTCGCGCTTCTTCTTGTTCTTCGCGGCGGACTTGGACAGGTTCTCGGCAGGCAGGGCGACGCCACCGCCGGGCGCGGCTCCGGGAGGCAGGTACTCCTCCGAGGGCTCAGCGCCGGGGATCTCACGACGGCGGGGCTTGCCGAAAGTGTTCATGCTGGCACCGGGCACACCGTCGCGGACAAAGGCGGCACCACCTTCGTCTTCGCGCTTGAATGCGAGTGGGGTCAGCTGTCCACGGGCGCCAGGTGGACGGTAGGCACCTGCTGGCTTGACGGGGGCCTTGCGCGTGCCCATGTAGGCGGTGGCGGAGGGGTGGGGCACAGGCACCTTGGTGAGCGGCTCGCCCAGAGGGTGCTGCTCGATGCTCTGCGGGCGCCAGGTGACGTCGTAGAGCTCGGTCATATCCTCGTTGTAGGTGAGACCGCCGCTAACGTGCCAGATGCGCACTCCGTTGTCGACGCGCAGGCGAGGGCTGGTCGTCGCGGTGAGGATGTACTGTCCGTCGGGCGACCAGGCGCACACGCTGGCGTTGGAGGCCTCGACGGTGGTGATCTTGTGGTAGTTCTTGTCCATGTCGTAGAGGTCCATCTGTCCTGCCAGGTTACCGAAACCGGCAACCAACACGAAGCGGCCATGGGGCGAGAACTGGATAGTGTTGCGCGGCGCGAGGGGGAAGTTGTGCTTGGGCACACCGCGGAAGTTGAAGATGGTCGTCTTAGCGGGCATATAGCCGTACACAACACCGAATTCCTTCGAGTTGGGGTTCCAACTAACATCGTGAATAGGACCTTCCTTATCTGCTGATTGTTAGTTGAGTTCAACAAGTAGTAAACCCCCCCCCCCCCCCCCCCCAAATCAAAACTTACCAAGATCAATACGCGAGTCGAATGCACCGCTAGCGCTCAGCAAGTACAGGGTTGTCTCGCCGTAGTAACTCTTGCCGGTGCGATCCACCTCAGTCTGCGCTAGCACGATCAAAGTAGTTCCAGAAGCGTTCCACTTCAGCTGGACCTTATCGCCCTTGAAGAAGCTCTTCTGGGATACGGGCGCAGTGAACTGGGGCACAATGAACACCTTAACCTGGGCAGGCTGGCCCTTGCGCTCAGGAATGAACACGGCAATAGACTGAGTCTGACCAGGCGACAACGCAAAGTCCGCCACTCCCTCCACGCGCAACTTATTCCAAACAGTGGAGAGGTTGTCGCTCTGGTAGAACTGAACCTCGTTGGTCACGGTACGGGCGCACAGCCGCTCATCGGCAGTGTACTGCAAGTTCCAGCCGGTCTGCGACTTCTGGACGAAACTTCCCACAACCGAGTGATCGTCACCGTCCTCAATGGCACGCCACACCTTCAAGTTCTTGACGGCGTCTCCGTTCTCGTCCTTGGATGTGCGCTGCCAGGTGATCACATAAGTGCCGAGCGGCGAAAATCCCAGTTCGAACACGTTATCGGCGGGGATGGTCCCAACGACTTGCCCCACGGAAGGGTCGATAATGGTAACCCTGTGTTGGAGAGGAATGTTAGATTTTAGACGTGAAAGTGGGGGTTAACCAACTTACTTCTCGGGTGATGCCCATGCGAAGTACCGGCCACACGGCGAGTAGGCGCTACAGCGGAGGTTGCCCTCTGGTCTAGAGAACGAGTCAGCGATATCTCCTGTTTGCTATCTGGCTCAATTCTTACTTCGCGAACCCAGAAAGGGGTTGGTAGACAGGGGCGGCATCCATGATGCCAATGCCCTTGAGCGTGCGGACTGTGCGACTATCAGCAACTATCATCCACTCGAGAAATGCGACCCAAAGTCAAGAATAAGTATGAGTAAAGGGAAAACACATACAAGCAAGTTGCGTAGGAGCAGCCATCTTGATTTCGACTCGCGGGTCTAGAATGAATCCACCAAAAGAAGAGAAATCGAATGCTTTTCGAGAACACCAGGTAAAATGGATTCTTCTAGGAAGAAACACGAATCACAAAGCAAACTTATAGGACCAAAATAACCTCGCAGCGAACAACGGACCCGGTGAAATAACGGGGGGTCGAACAAAGGCGAAGCAAAGGCGAAGCGAAACGGGCTTTTCGGGGGTATTTCTCGGATTGGGATTTCGTGTGGGTTTCTGGGCAAGTGAAAACAGCAAGTCGGCGGAATAGAAGACTGCTAGACAAGTCAATGCCAGCAAAAGAGGTCGGGCGAAGAAAGGTAGTTGGGGTGGTTGAAGAGTGAAAGGAAGAAAATTCGGGTTTGGCGATGTGGCTCAGGCGGCATGCCGTCATCTGCGGTATACTCGTTGTGCCGGGAATCACCACTGTATAGATTGTATGCTTCGGTTTGGATTGGAGCTTGGATAGAACTATATACTAGCTTGGTAATGTACTATTCTATATGTCTAGATATCTAGATACCTGAAAATAATGCGTAGGAGTCTGGATTTACGTGGAAAAGACAGGTGGCAAGGGTCTTTGGAGGGGAAGACCCAATCAGGTACTGACGATACTTTGATATTTGGAAGATATCATGTCTCAATACCTAGTTTTCTTTGTTTATAATTACATTCATAGTCATTGTTACTTCGAAACAAAGACACAAAAAAAAAAAGAAGAAGCAATCCATTCGAGGCACCAAGCCACTAAAAAAAACGCCTTCGTAACCTCTTGAATCTACCAAAAACATCAAAACATTAACCAGACTCTAATCCCGGCCTGGCGAGCCAAATCCACTACTACTGCGACCGGGTGTGGAAACCAATCGTGGAGTTCTGGCAGTAGTATCAACAACGTCTGAGTCAAAAGTCATACCATCAACCAGGCGAGCATCCTCATTCATAGGCTCGGGGGTCACCGACCCAGCTGGTGATGAGGGCATCATAGAGCTCTCCCCAGCATGGTGCTGTTGTTGCTGAAGATATGAAGCCAGTGGATTCGGGCGGTTGACATTCGAGCTACCCATAGAAGTAGGCCGTGCCCCGATACCTCCAGAAGACACACGGTTCATTCCAGGAGGACGAGAAATCGGTCCACTGTAAGTACTGTTGGCGCCTTCGCCGAAACCAACCAGACTGGCATTACCCTCGTCACTGGCGTTACCGACACTGGAAGTGCCATCGTCCTCGTGATACTCTTGATACTCGCTCATTTTGTCGGCGTCGTATGTGTCGCTACTGCTCGCCCAGGTGGTGCGTCCGGCGATACTGCCTGTCGCGCTGGCGCTGCCAACTGTGCTGCGCTCCTTCGGTGCTTGACTCTCGAAATATCCTGGAGCATACGGCTGAAGCACTTGGCCGGATGTTTGGCCACCGGCGCGAGCTGTGGCAACGCGCTCAAGGCCGGCTAGGCGGGAGATGCGGTCTGCGCGCTCGGCCTCTAGGGTTGTGGTGGAGGATGTGGAGGACTGGTGCGCATGGTGGCTGTGGGGGAATGGCTGGCCCTGGTAGCCGTCTTTGATGGCTGTGGTCGAGAGAGCAGAGAGCGACGTAGTGCCGGAGTTGGGGGTGCCCCTGATTTCCCCGTTAATTAGCCAAGTCAGTTTCACTCTCCATGTTATATGCAGACACAGGGAAGACGGAGTTATAGAAAGCTCTTACGGTCCCATATCCGATGGAGTGACGGGTTCCGATGGGGGAGGAGGCAAATTGATCAGCGTTGGAGTAGTCATGATGAGATATGAAGATAAACTAATTCTCTGAAAATTAAGCAGAGTCAGTAATTCAGTGAGAGATGTTAAAAGAGATGGAGGTTGGAGAAAGAGAGAAGGAGAGATGGTGGACTTGGACTTGAGAACTAAATAATTAATTTCCCCCCCAAACGTCATACCTCAGTGGTGAATACGGTAGAGTTTAGTGGCCATTGGGATAATACTGCGGGTCACCATATTATACATGTGTAGTCCTAACATACCTAGCCAAATTTATCTAGTATTCCACTTATAAGGCCTCTATCCTTTACAAAAATATTGAATTCTCTGGCTTTATTTGGTTGGAGATGATATTAATAAGTTATATTTCACCTATATTCTTTGATGTCTTTATACAAACCTAGAGCTCCGCTGTCATGATGGACACTAATTACCACCATACAAGATCAGTCCCGCCTTTCCCTATATAAAGGTCATTGTTCGAAATTTACCATCAGTCCAAAACTGGTAAACACACGCCAGATTCATGCATTCGTTCATTCATGTATACAATCCTATAATAAATTGTGGAAGAGAAAACAGCCCGCTGCTCCCCCTAATCCCTAAACCTTCCGATTCTCATAATGCCCCCGAAGATCATCCACCTCTTTCTGGAGTTTGGTGAGATCAGCCAGGATGTCAAGGGCATTGGATGGTTGTGGAGTGGGTGTCTTGTTCTCCT